TGTTGTTTGTTTTATTGGTGTGTTTTGGGTTGTTACTCCCCTTTGGGAGTTGTTTAGTTTTATAGTTGTGTTGTTATTCTCTTGTTGGGAGCGTGTTATTCTCCCGTTGGGAGCATGTTATTCTCATGTTGGGAGTTGTACTCTTGTCTATTGTGGGTTCGTTCATTGTGTTTAGTTGTACCCGGGTATTACCCTTTTGGGAGTTGTACTATTGTCTATTGGGGTCTCTTTAGTTGTGTTTAGTTGTATTATTCGGGCTAAGACTTCTTCTTGTGTCGTTCGTTCACTGCTGGTGTGTTTTGTTGCGCACCGAGCCCCACCGTCACCGAAGGAGGTAAATCGGTGGAAGAATTGAGAGAGACGGGTTAGTTTTTTTTTTTCCCCCAAATCGCAGAGAGAATTGAGAGAGCCTACTCGCATTTTTTTTCCGATAAATAATGTTTGAAAAATAAAAAAATCTCTAACAAGAAGTATTAGAAGAAAGAAAATTAACAATTTAATTGGTAATTTTTTTTTTTTCAAACGACAGACTCTTATAAATAGTACACATAATTACAAGCGAATAACAACCGGTAACTGCCGGAATAGAGCATCTACACAGCTGAAATCCTTGGGAGGACAACCCGAAAGGCCGCCTAGCCGATAGGCCACACCACAAACTCCCAAAATGAGAATACAACTCCCAAAAGGAGAATAAACACCATACACAACAAACAAAACACGAAAACACACTAAAAACATAAAAAAAAAAACTAGAATAATCTTTCTCCACCAGCTAACCGACAAATCCCAGACCTAAGCCAGTGGCATCGAACACGAACAAGAAACTCCAGACTGAAGCCAGTTAAACCTAACCCGCCCTAAAGCCATCGACCAATCCAACAACAATTGACATCGAAAAAATTCGAGCAGCTCACCACAAAACACACACCACACGCACTTATGGCGGCCGCACCTCCCCAGACGAGGCCAGGATAGCCCCATTCGATGGAGCCCACCAATCCCAACCGCAGAAATCGGCCCGACCCAAGCGTGGATTTGCAGCGAGACACCAATCTCAATCAGCTGCCAAAGCAGCGGTCGAAACTGACGGCGAAGGAGAAAACCGCGACAAGCCCGAGACCCCCTCCCCTCAGCCATGGCCACCGC